TNTNTTCTTTTTCTTCTTTTCTTTTTTTTTTTTTATTTTTTACTTTTTTGTTTTATTTTTTTAATTATTATTGTTGTTCATATCTTAATCAAAAGCCGATCTCACTTTAATAAATCAAGGTTTGACACAAAGTTAACTCGATTATCCGATGACAAATCGTACATTTCAAAAATGTATTGCGGAATCTACAAAAAGTTTAATTTACATAACAGTTGCATTATCAGCTAAGCTAGCAGTCTTAGATAGTTGGCTACTACTATAGCTTATTAACATATTATTAACACTTTTAAAAATAAAAGGTATTTTTTTCTTACGAAATAATCACAGCAACATGGATAAATTTTTCACGATCGTGTTTAAAAAATATTCCACAATTTATAAAACTGATCTTATTAATCCTGCCTGCGGATCTAAAATGTAAAATAGACAAGAAGTACAAAAACTTTAATAGAGAATACCGGGTATTAAAATATAATAAATTTTATCATGCCTTAATCCAAAGTCATAATAATAAGAAAAAGGAAAGAGTAGAATATGCTTATATACACATTGCTGGTGTAATGTTTAAATATCTTTCAAAAGATCAAGCCACAATATTAGTTTATAACATTATCGTTGTCGCACTTTTCAGGTTTCTATGAGCAAAATACCCGAAGACGTCAAATTGCGAATATAAATAGGCCAACCGAGCAAGGAGAAATAGGCACAATTTACGATGATCCCAACAACGAATGTAGAAACAATCAATGGAAAAGAGTTTTGTTATTGGTTGTTGCTATTACGGTATGTAAGTTAATCGAGTATTTTAAGATATAACAAAATTATAATAAAATATAATAAAATATAGAGAAAGCTAATAATAAAAATGTTTGCAATATATTATTAGGTACACAATATTCCAGAAGGTCTTGCAGTTGGAGTAGGATTCGCAGCAGTAGGTAACAGTGCATCAGCAACTTTTGAAAATGCAAGGTAAGCAACGCACGCTTCTACCGTCTTCTAGAAAATATTCGCGAACAGATTCTAATTTAAATATTATTCCACATAAATAACGCATTAAGATTTCAAACATCGTCGAGTGAATATGTTTTTTTTTAATCCGATAAAAAAAAATTTTTTTAACAGTGGAAAATAGTTTTATATATATATATATATATATATATGTATATAAGTTACGTAGCTATATTTCAATTAGATGCAACGTGCATCTAAAATTGTTCACTTAGATCAATCGGGCCTATTAGATTCATTATAGAAGATCAAATCGAATCGTCCAAAGAGTTACGTACATATCGTTTCGATTCATTAGAAATGGATATATGTATATTTATTTAAAAACACGTTTCAGAATTACGGCTCTATGCTCGATAAGAAAAATATTCTCGTATCGCGTTTCACTTTTCTTTCACGCTCGTTTCAAAATAATTTTTTGGATACCGACATCGATAAAAACAAGAGGCGTTGTTCGTAGAATAAGCGACGCTAGTGTAGAGCGTTAAATATCGAGCCGCATGAGAACGATTCGTGTCGCTCCTAGATGGCTGCAATTTAGAAAGAAGTTGGGCGAGTTGCCGATAGACGGTAGCACCATTGACGAAGAATCATACACAAGTTACGAGCGCGTGCTAGGAGGTCCCCATGAATGAGTTCTATGGTGGTCGGTCGCGAGTGCCAGCCGCAGGCAAAGTTTATTGGCAGCGGTGGGTGCCTGTTGCGCGGGGGGGAAGGGCACGTGTGGCCCTGGAATTCAACGAGCCCTAGGCGCCGCGCATTCCATTCCATACTCCTTTCCCCGCTTCTTCCCTCCTCTTCGACTTCTCCCGAACTCGCTCTCCTTACTGCCTTACGCCTTTGACTTTGGAACATCGCCTGCTATCACGTGTAGTACTTACAACGAGATCGAATAGCGATGACATTGATTTCATTTTTATCGAAGAATTATCCGAATAACGTAGACTTTATTTATAGAAAATTTCGACGATATCGCCAACTTTCGTATCTCCATCCTTCCTTCCTATCGTTCGTTCCTCTTTCTTTTCTCTCTTTTCTTTTTTTTTTTTTTTTACATAAGATACAATGGATATTTAGAGTCTTTTTCGAATGAACGGCCTATATCAACGTTTTTTTCCCTCCGTCACGCGATAGTTGAGAAATACGGAGCGAATTCTCTTTGTTCTCGAACGTATATACGCGATACGATACACGATGGCTTTGGGAAAAGCAAGGTCCATCGGGTGAAAATTCGAAAGAACGTTGAATCCCGTAAAATATCGTTGCCGGTAAGCCATTTTCTCCACTTCTCGAAGAGAAGAAGAGAAAGGAAAGATTGCGTGTGATAAACGGAACGACGTAAACGCGGTATCGCGCAAGTTTCCCGGTTATGAATGAATCCTCGTTGTCGTTGCCGTGATCGTTGTCGGCGGCGTCGTCGTCGTCGTCGTCGTCGTCGTCATCGTCTCGGTCCTCGAAAGATGACCCCGGCCAATATATCGGAGGCACGCATATCGCCACGCACTAGTTCGTGGGTACATTATTATCGCGTTGAAGGAGTTTCTTCTTCGATCTTGTTCGATCTTTCTTCGAGAAAAATGGCCGAACGTAAAGCAATGATAATCGTATTGATCGAATATAGCGATCGAATAGCGATACGAGAAACGAACGTCGAGAATGGATCGAAGAATGCGACGCGATTTCGAAAGTTTATTTTCGAGGAGTTAAGAGGCTAAAATTATTGGGTGCATGCTCGGCATAATAAGCGGCAGCCAAAGGAAGAAAAAGAAAAAAAAAGAAAAAAAATTGAAAGGATTTACGATGGAAATTCGGGTTTTATTGCGCAACGGATTGATTTGCGTTATCGATCGATGAATCGGTTGCGCCGCGTCCTTTTCAAGGAAAAGATAATTGATTCTTTTGAAGATGGAAAAAGAGTAGTTAGTTCCATTCCAGAGGCGGCGAAAGAATCATGAATGAAAGGTTGGTTGATCGGTAGCGGACGGCCGTTCACGTCAGGAATAGTTGAGAGTAAGCAGACAGGACAAATAGAGCGAGAAAAAGAGAAAAGGACGATGGAAAGGCGGGCAGCCGATATAGGAGCAACGATATTTGCACTCGTAAAACGTTCAAGGAGATCCGGTACTGAGTCACCCTCGAAGGTATGCGAATTTTTCCCGGAATCTCCTCTCGTTCTTATCTTTTTGCTTTTGAAATTCGTCACACAACCTGGAACGTCACAACCGTTGTTTTCTCGCGATCTGTTGCACAAGTATCTTAAACTTGCGAACGACAAGGAAAAAGTTCATTGAACTCGGTTCGACGAACATTCGTCGGAATTCGTTTCTCGAACAAAACGAATAATCCATGAATTTGCCCTCCCCCCCCCCCTTTTTTTCCGATCGTAGAAGAAAGATGAGAGAGAGAGAGAGAGAGAGAAGGAAAAGCTCGAGTGAAAGCGAGAGAAATTGTAGCACGCGTAAAAAAAAGGGAGGAACTACGGAGCGGTGGATTGGCGTGGCGCGTAGATGAGGTGTTGCTATGTTAAACAGGCGCCAGACAAAGCTGCCGACGAAACCACCTTATTTCAGATATCCTATATCCTCCTGCGTGTGTCTGTCTTATTATATACCGACCGACCAACCGACAAGTGCTCACCGCGCTACGGCCCTTCTCTGTCCTCGTTCGCATCTTTATTTTTCTCTTTTTTTCTTTTACTTTTTGCCCGCTCTTTTCTCTCTCTGCCATTTCGTCCTTTCTCCCCTCCCCTACCACATAGTACATCGCAACTGCAAACGCGATAGCTCTTTTCGTTCTTGTCTGCCAAATAAATAAGAGAAATCCTCGTCGTACATTTACATCTCGTATCCAACGATATACGTAACCTTTAAACGGAGTTCCCTTAATCGTTGTACTTTGCACTCCCTGCTCCCTTATCATGCACGCGGGAAGTTAATTGTGACGTGTGCTATAATAGCAACGGAAGTCGGTTACGATATAGCGCTTCCCGTTCAGTTTTTCGGTGAACGAAGCGTCAAGAAGAGCGCACGTGGAAGACTCCCTCGGAACGAAGCTTCTTCGCGACGAGAATATTTCCGTTTTCTTTTTTTCTTTTTTCTCTCCCGTTATCCGGTAGTGGAATTCGATCGATACGTTTCTCTCCTCTCGTCGTCCTCCAACGATTTTCGTTCTACGAGATGGATCTGAGTGCAACCATTCACGGCCGAAAGATTCCGAGAACTCGACTCATGCGAGACATTCTCTTCCAACAGCTAACAAACACGTCGATAGCTTTTCTCGGCTAGTATTTCGCGTTCGAGTAGGTCTCTCTCTCTCTCTCTCTCTCTGTCTCTTCTCTTTTCGCCTATCCGAAACACGTAACGCCGCAACGTTTCCTAAAGATACCTAGCGCTCGGTCTCGTAGCGGAGATAGCTAGTCGCGGACGATTCGAGCGATGGAAGAAAGAGATGGGTGGCGATCGGAGGGCACGTTTGTCATAGCCACTTCCTCCTCCTCTTTCTTCCCTTCTCGAGCGATCAAGACCACTACTATACCGCATCTCTCGATCTTGCTCGGTGTCTCTCGGTTAATTCGTTTCTCTTTCTCTGGCATCGGGCGATGCACTGGCGTGCACGAAGCAACGACTTTGCAATGCTTGGAATGCAGCGGCATTACGCATGCGCATCGCGTACCTTACTCGGAACAGACGAACAGCCGGATCCCCGTTATGTCCCTCGACGATGGCCTCGGGACGATCGTCCGCACCGACTAGCCGTCCTCTTCTTGCGGATCGAACTACCGTCCCGATGCTTATACGCTTGCGTCCGCGACCAACTACATACTTATATAGCTGCGCACAGCCTATTTCTTCCTTCCTACCGTTCCTACCTTCGTTCGTTGGTGGATAGACACCTGCCCACCGACCGACCCGCACCCCATCCTTCTTCCCCATTTCGACGACGAACCAATCTCCAATTCCCCATTCGCGAATCCAATTCACACAGATAGGACGGACAGAGTTTTCGGGTGGAAAAGATGGAAGGAAGGGGGGAGAGGGAATGGGGGTCGCCGACAGGTTGGCCGATAATCGGCAATCGGCGTTTGAGGCGTTAAGAGGCGCGAAACGATGCCGGAGGTAGCAGAGAAAAGCGGGGTTGTGATCTTGGTCTTATGATTTTATGGTGTTAAGCCGTGGCCGGTGGCCTCGGAACTCGAAGAGCCGAGAAGAGTCGGGAGAACTCGCCTTGGCGTTGGTGGAATGCGGGACGGGCAAATCGCGGTCGGCCCGCTTGCGCCTCGTTCCCATGCATTCCTTACTCCCTCTCCCGTTCCTCCTTCCTCTCTCTTTTCTTCTCCTCCCCCTCCTCTCCCTCTCTCTCTCTCCTTCTCTCCCTCCCCCCCTTCCCCCTCTCCTCCCCTTTTTTCCTCTTCCTCGCTCCTTGCTTTTCTCCTACAAACGCGTTTATACGTGTACGCTTCTCCTTCGAGCCCGCGCGTCTTACGGTGTACCGACCAACCGCGCGCTTAAACGCGCGCGCGCGCACTCTCTCTCTCTC